GAAGGAAGGAAGGAAGGAAGGAAGGAAGGAAGGAAGGAAGGAAGGAAAGAAGGAAACAAGCATTTATTATGCACCTACTGTGTACCAGCTACTACGCCAAGAGATGTAGTTAAGATGGATGTGGACAGGTTTTGCTGCAGGGCACTAGCATCCAGTGGATGTATTTCCTCCCTAAGGTGACACCTCCTCTAATGGTGCTTTGGAGACATAGGAATGGTGGGTGAAAAAAGGTGGAAAAATTATTGATGTTCCAGTCAAAGGATGTAGTTTCAAGACCTGTCTCTGCCACTTGGTACCTGTATCCCATCTTGAGAAAATCTTGTTAACTCTCTGTATTTCAGCTTCCACAGTTCATTGGCTTAGGAGTCAGAGGACCTGGGTTCAAACTCTACCTTTGATGCTTACTGACTACAGGACATTTGGTAAGACATCTCCTTTTGCTGGGCCTTAGTTTTCCTCTTGTAAAATGACGTATTTGAACTGGATGGTCTCTAAGGTCTCCTTCAACTCTGGATCTATGATCCTTAGTTCCTCAGTCACCTCCTTGTGCCTCAGTTTCCTCATCTGTGAAATGAGGTGCCTTTCAGCTCTAGCACTATGATCCTATGACCTTGGGCAAATCACTTTGCTTTCTTGGCCTCAGTTTTCTCATCTATAAAATGGATGGGTTAGACTAGATGGCCCTAAAGAAGAGACTTTGGGTGTCTTCTGAGGTCCTTTTCAGCTCTAGATATGTGATCCTTTGAGTAGAGAGTTCAGAAGGGGACCTCTGTTTTTTCAGCCAGCTGAGGGTTAACAAGAAACCTTGGCACTCTCAGCAATGATCTCACTGCTAATTACGTACAGAAATCATTTTCCCTCCACTGCCACATATAATGAAAACGATGCCTCAGAAATGGAATCTATCATGTAGTGCATTATAAAAGTTTTTTTTAAAATTCTACCTCAATTTCCCCCACTTTCTACCGTTGTTACCCCATCCTTCCAGCCAGCTAATCCAATACGAAAGTTATATTAACCTCCCAACCATTGCAATTAAAATGCTCATCCCGAATTTGAAAACAATTAAAAAAACCCATTATCTCAGATTGAACATGCCCTGATTCCGTCTCTTTTGTCTGACAGGGAGCAGGCTCTAGGTGCCATTAACACAGGAGGGGCCTACAAAATGAGACTCTTTATTCCTTTTCTTGGGCTCTCTTTACCTCGGTTTCTATAGAAGCCTTGGGGGGAAAAGAAAAACAAAAGACAAAAAAAAAACCCTCTCCCATTTCTCTGTACCTTTGTCATGCTGACAGTGTGGGTAGATTATCTTTCTTCAGTCACAATAATTGATTGTTTTAACAGGGACTTGCTTGGGAACCTGGGTCCTGCACCCCCTTTATCTCTAGGAGTTGGGGGAATGACTCAGATCCTCTGAGGTTATGATCTCAACAAGTTGGTGTCATTAGGTAAGTGCTATAGGATTTAGGTGGAGCCATGGAAGGGATTCAGAGGCTCATTTTGTGGATGAGGAAAGTCAGCCTCTAGAATATTGAGTGACTTCTCCAAAATCACATGGGCTGTTGTTCAGTTGTGTCTGACTCTTTGGGACCCATTTGGGGTTTTCTTGGCAAAGATACTGGAGTGGTTTGCCTTTTCTTTTTTTTTTTCATTTTACAGAAGAGGAAATTGAGGCAAACAGGGTTAAGTGACTTGTCGAGGATCACCCAGTTAGTAAGTATAGGCAGCTGGATTTGAACTCAGGTCCTCCTGCCTCCAGGACTGATGCTTTATCTATTGTGCCACCTAGTTGCCCCTAAAATCATACAGGTAGTAAGCATCCAAGGAGGAGTCATAGACTCATAGCTACAGAGCTGGTGGTGACATCCAAGCCCTTCTAGTCCAGCCCCTTCATCTTACAGCTGGGGAAACTGAGGCCCATGGACATAGAGTGACTTGGCCGAGGTCACACAGATAATAAGTAACGGGGACGGGATTTGATGTTTCTGACTAAATCTTTCTACTGTACTTGATACCTCTCACTAGGCGTCTCAGATGAGGTCTGTGTAATCTGGGAATTGGGCTCAGCTAAGGTTGACCACAAAACAAGCCAACTGGAGCATTTAGGTTAAAAAAAAACGTTCAGCCTCCTGGTGTTGTTGTGAAGATCAAATAATATTCATAAAACACTTTGCAAACCTTAAAAGCATTATATAAATGCTCCTGTTGTTGTGGTTATTAATTGAATCTTGCCTTCTCTTTGGGTTAGGATCACATGGGCGAAGGCCCATGCAACTCAAAGTAGGGTGGAATGCGCCAAATATTTATGCAATTTTAGGCTTGTGTAGACAGGCGATAAATACAGATGCAGTAAAGTAGTGAGTGGAGCAATTATCTGAATAATTTAATTAGTGTATGAGGCAGGGATGGTTTGATTTTTTTGTCTTTGTATTCCCAGCATTCAGCACAGTACCTGGCATGTAATAGATGCTTTAAAAATGCCTTTTGGATTGGTTTGGCGTTTTTTTTCAGGAATACAGCGCCCCCCCCCCCCCCGCCCCAGCTCGCTTCCTCAAATATCCAGACTGAGAGACTGTATGGCATGATGGGCAGACAGCTGGCATTGGAAGGCCTGGGTTCAAGTCATGCCACTGGCACATTCTGGCTTTGGGACCCTGGACAAGTTGGTTAGCCTGGAAGTGCTCTAGCCATCTCTTTAAGGCTAAGTTGCAGAAAGGATATCCACCTGCATTGGTAGATGGAGTAAAATCATACATTGAGGCCCTATCTTTGTCATCTAGATTAGGATCAGCAAGTGTTTATGAAGTGCTTACTGTATGCTTGGCATGCTGCTAGGTATTGGGGATAGAAAGAAAGGCAAAAACACGGCCCCTGCTCTCAAGAAGCTCACAGTCTAATGAGGGGAAGATAAACTCTGTCCTACTCTGGCCCTGGAATATTGTCAGGCTGCTCTGACAGTCTAGAAGACCTTTTCTAGTACGGTGGAAAGAGTTCTGGACTTTGGACTCAGCATCCTTGTTCAATTGGGTCTGAGTCTTCATGACCCTATTTGGGGTTTTTGTGGCAGAGATTCTGGAGCGGTTTGCCATTTCCTTCTCCAGCTCATTTGACAAATGAGGAAACTGAGGCAAACAGGGTAAAGTGACTTGCCCAGGGTCACACAGCTAGAAAGTGTCTGAGTCCAGATTTGAACTCGGGAAGATGAGTATTCCTGACTCCAAGCCTGGCACTCTGTGCACTATGGCGACACCTAGCTGGACTTGGAGTACCTAGGCTCAATTTAGATTACATGAACTTGCTCATGTCACAACCTCCCTGGGCCTCAGTCTCCTCATCTACAAAATGAATGGGTTGAACTAGATGGCGTTTAAAATCCCTTTCAGTTTTGAAGTCCATGATTCTTTAAAACTAAAGAATTAAGCTGTTCTGACTTCATAGTCGGATGAACACCAAGAATTACCTACTATGTGCCAGGTTGGAGCTGTGGGTAGAACACCAGCCCCAGAGCCAGGAAGACCTGAGTTCAAATCTGGCCTCAATCGCTTCCTCACTGTGTGACCCTGGGCATGTCACTTCACCCTGTTTGCCTCAGTTTCCTCATTTGTAAAATGAGTGGCAAAGGAAATGGCAAATCACTCCAATATCTTTGCCAAAAGATCACCAAATAAGGTCATGAATAGTCAGACATGACTGAAATGACTGAACAACAACAAAATGTGCCAGGCATTGTGCTAGGTTCTGGGGTACAAAGGAAAGCAAAAGACAGTCCCTGGTCCCAAAGAGCTCCCACTCTAGTGTGGAAACAATATGCAAATAACTATGTATGAACAAGATACATATATGATAGACTGGAAATAATCAATGGAGGGAAGTTATTAGAATTAAGAGGGATTGGGAAAGTCTTCCTGTAGAACGTGGTCCTCTCGGAGCGTCATAGTGTGGTTGTCAGAGCACTAGTACTCAAATAAGGAAGACCTGAGTCTGAATCCTACCTCAGATGTTTACTAGCTATGTGATCTGGGTTAGTGGAGAGAGTTCCCACACTGGGAGGGTCCTGTGCCAATGAAATCCCAGATCCTTTGAGTATCAGCATGTTCTGTACAAGGAATATATGGTGGGAAAGCAGCAGGCTCAGGAGTCTTCAGCTATCCAGACTGGTTGCCACAAATCTGCTTTGGGTTATATTGCCCTGACCTTTGGTTTTAAGCTATGTGAAGGAAGAAGGACTTAGAGTGACCATTAATGACCAGTGACAGAGGCAGTGTGGCCCAGTGGGAAGATGGCAGGGGTTAGTGTCAAAGGACTTGATTCTGGATCCTGACTTAAGCTGCGTGCTTCTTGTGTGACTGAGCAAGTTGATCGACTTCTCTGGTTCTTGGGTTCTTTTTCTATAAAATGAGGGGATAGCGCCTCATAATAATGGCTTGCACTACATAACCTTTTTATGATCTACAGAATGCCTTATCTCCATTGTCTCATTGGAACTTCATAGCAATCCCAGGAGGTAGGTGCTATTATCATACCCATTTTATCCCCATATCTATCCCTATTTTACAGGTGGGGAAACTGAGGCAAACAGAAGTTAAGTAACTTGCCCTGTCACACAGCTAGTTAGTGTCCAGTGTAGGATTCAAACCCAGGTCTTCTTCATTCAAATTCAGTGCTCTACCCACGCCACAATGTCTCTAAATAACCCCATGTGATCCCTTTCAGCTCGAAATCTATTTCCCTACAAAGGGAGGCCTTAGAGCAGGGCTTCTTAACCGTGTGTGTGTGTGTGTGTGTGTGTGTGTGTGTGTGTGTGTAAGTCATGGCTTCCTTTGTCAGTTTGGTGAAGCCTATGGGCCCCTTCCCAGAATAATGTTTTTAAATGCTTAAAATAAAATACACAGAATTACAATGGAAACCAATTATAGTGAAGTAAAGATAACGTTTTTCACGGATTCCTTGAAATCTATCCATAGATGCTCTGGGAGTTTACAGACCCCAAGCCTTGAACTCCTGCCTTAAAGCACAGTGGATTACTCAGAGACACCATCTGAATTTTTTGAAGGAATTGAACAAACCAGTGAAGGCTACAGATGTAAAATTGGAAGGGACCTTAGAGATGACAGTCCCAACACCTCCTTTTTTACAGAGGCTCACAGATACTAAATGAATTGTCTAAGATGACATAGCCAGTAAGCAGTTTCGTGGCTGTTCAGTCATTAAGTCATGTCCTACTCTTCCTGACCCCATGGACCATACTGTCCATGGGGTTTTCTTGGCAAAGATATTGAAGTGGTTTGCCATTTCCCTCTCCAGTGGATTGAGGTGAATAGAAATTAAGTGACTTGCCCAACATCACACAGCTAGTAAGTGTCTGAGACCAGATTTATACTCAGATCTTCCCAACTCCAGGTCCAACACTCTATCTACT